TTAAAATGAAAACCAGTTAGTCCTAAGCAGTAATTAGAACAGTTAAAATCCAGCACATCAATTGTTGGTGAAGATATCTATCAATAGGAACTCCCATTCATATTTTATAGAAATGAGGTAGAGCCACTTTAAAAGATAGTTTGGCAATTCTTATAAAACCAAACAAGTTGCCATACAAACCAGTAATTGTGCTTCTTTTTGTTTACCAAACTGATTTGAAAATTTACATCCACACAAAAACCTGCACCTAAGTGATTATAGCAGCTTTATTAATAGTTGTCTAAAATTAGAAGAAACAAATTTGTCTTTTCATGGAGAAATGAACCAACTGTGATACGTTTGTATAATGGAATACTATTCAGTGACAAAAGGAAATCCACTATGAAGCCACTAAAAAATGTGGATAATCTTAGATAAATATTGCTAAGTGATAGTAAAAAGATCATTGGAATTTGAAGGGCTATAGGAAATGTGTAGTATGTCATATAGTATATTTTAAGGACAGTGAAACTATTCTGTATGACATCATCATGATGAATACATGTCATATATATTTGAATACCCATAATATGTACTAAAAAAGCATTAATCTTAATACAAACTATGGAACCTAGATAATAATCCTGTATAAAGATGACATATGAGTTATATCAACTAATCCATATTAAGGCAAGACACAAAGATATAAATGATAGCAAAAACGGGGTCAGGGAGAGAAAAGGGGACATATAGCATTTGTCCTTACATGGCACCTTTTCTCCAAACCATAAACTGTCCTTAAAATGTCTACAAGTTTTGAAAGCTACTATAGAAAATATATAAGAAGCACCAGCAAGATAGCATAACCTTGATATTGGTATTAAGTAGAACATGTTAAACAAAGACATTAAGTACAACATATTAAACTTATGATAAATAGCATTCATACAATTTTAACAGTTGTACCAAACAAAATATTCAAAAATTGAAAAGATCATGATTGGTTTAATTCTGGGAATTGAAAGATGATATCTAACTAAAAGCCCAGTTAATTTATCCATGCATTGTTATGGTTGATGTGAGATGTCACCCCAAAACTCATGTGTGAGACAAATCAAGAAGGTTTAGACAAGAAATGATTGGATTATGAGATCCTTAACCCATTCAGTTGATTAATCCCCTCAGGGGATTAACTGAGTGATAACCAAAGATGGAAGATTCAGCTGTCTATAGACTGAAACTTCTGAAACTGTTAGGCCCAAGCTTTTTCTCCTTTAAAATTGTTCTCGGCAGGTTCTTTTGTAACAGCAATTAAAAAGCTGATTAAAACAGAAATTGGTACTGAGAGTGGGATCCTTGCTGTGACTAACCTGACCATGTGGTTTACAAGCTTTTGGAATTCTTTGGAATTTGTTGGAGGAATTTTGGCAAGTTTATTGATACAAGCTGGAAAAGTCTTAGATTGTTGTAAGTGGCACTTAATGAGCAGTTTTGGCAGAAGCTCAGAAGACCAGAATGCCAATCGGACTATGGACAATAAAGACAGGGCTTAAGAAGTTTCAGAGAAGGAGGAGTCTATTGGAAATTGGGTTAGAGGCCATTTGTGTTATGCTCTGGCTAATGCATTTTGCCTGTGTCCTGAGATTTTCTGTGAAGCTAATTTTAAAAGTGATGGACTTCTTAATCTAGTGGAAGAAATTTCTAGGCAGCATAGTATTCAGGCAGTGGAATGATTATTGCTGGTAGCTTTTAGCCAAATTTATTGTAATAATCAGGAATAGAAAGCACAGCAGAAAGATTTTTAAAAATTAGACTTGAAAAGTGGGAGTAAAACTGAGGCCAAGGAAGTTGCAGTTGTTAAAGACATTACTGCCACTAAAGAAATGCTAAATATTTTGCTGGAGATATGAAAGATAGCTTAAGGGCATCTCAGGAATTGGCAAGATCACACCCATCTCAGGTTCAAGGGAGTAAAAGTAAAAATTCCTTTGAGAAGAGACCAATGGGGAGACTTGCTTGCACTGGGTAGCCTAGGATTTTTTTTTTCCCTATGCTCAGCTGCCCAGGATGCAGCAGCTGTGATCCCTAGAGGCTTGCCTACTGCTCAAAATGATGGCAGACCTCAACAACAACCACATGGTGTTGATTCTGCAGGATTACAGGATGCTGGAGTTAGCAGGTCTTAGAGGCTTCCACTAAGATTTCAAAGGAAGGCCTTGGAGGCCAGACAATGTGCACAAAGTTTGGAGTCCCTGTGTGTAGCCCCAGAGAGGGCAATGCATGGAGAAATGAGGAGGAAACCTAAATGGGATTGGGGAGCCCCAAGATTAAGAAACTCTAGTACAGTGGAACATCTGTTGAAGAACACTATGGGAATTGAGCAGAGACAAGCCAAAAGAGAAGCCATGTGGGCTACAATCAACAAAGATACAGGGACAGAGCTAAAAAAGCCCTTTGATGAAAATATCATGATACCATGTGCTCCAGGTGCTGGACACAGATCTGAAGAACTTCTTTGCCCAGTTGAATTTCTGTCTCGCTTTGGTCCCCTCCCTTTTTCCTATCCCCCTATTTCTCTGAATGGCAATATTTACTCTGTACTTTTATATATTGGATACTTGTAAATTGCTTTTTATTTTTACAGGAGCTCACAATGTGAGCTTTGAGTCTTACATGTGTCTTTTGGGAAATTTTGGAACTATTTAGCCTATGGGGACTCTTGGAAATGGACTAAATGTATTTTACATTGTGAGATCATCAGCTTTGGTGGGGCAGGAGCAAAATGTCATGGTTATGTGTGAGGCAATGCAAGAAAGGTTGGAAGAGAAATGATTGGATTATGAAAGCTTAACCCAATAAGTGAAATAATCCCCTCATGGGATTAACTGAATGTGGGTAGGGTGTGACTGGAAGAGGTGCATCCTAGGGTCATGCCTTTAGGGTATATATTTTGTATCTGGTAAGTGGAGTCTCTCTGCTTTCTGATCATCATTCTGAGCTGCTTCCCTCTGCTATGCCATTCCACCATACTGTTCTGCCTCACCTTGTGTCCCAGGGATGGAGCTAGCTGTCTATGGACTGAGACCTCTGAAACTGAGAGCCTCCAAATAAACTTTTCCTACTCTAAAATTGTTATTGTCAGGTCTTTCAGTTACATCAGCTAAAAGCTGACTAAAACATGCATTAATAGATTAAAAAAGAGAATTTATATGTTAAGAGCAACAGATATTTTTAAAACTCAGACAAAATTCAGCATTGATTTATATAAAAAACGAGTGAATTGAAATATAAGAATTATTTTCTTTAATATGAAAAACATTTAACCAATCTTCTGTAAATATTAAACTAAAATGTGAAGTGGTAAAATCATTTCTTTCACTATGAGGACAACATAAGTATATTCACCACTTATATTCATTTGCATACTAAAACTTTGAATTTAGTACTCTGTTCTCTTCCTAACTTTCTAATATTGATGCCTGGATTACTAATTTTCAGATTAATGAAATGATAAATTTTAGGGAGATTAGTCAAGAAAAACGTATACCATTAATGAAACAAGAATAAGACTATAATTGTCAATATTTTATAATTGAAATGTAAAATATATTCAGCAATAAAGAAAGTCAGCTACAAAGTCATGGAAAGGTATGAAAGAATTTTAGGTAAATGTTGCTAAGAGATAGTAAAAATATAACTGAAGTTTGGAGGGATAGTGGGAAAACATAACATGTGGCATAGGGCATTTGTAGGGTAGTGAAACTGTGCTGTATGATATTCCATCATGGATACAAGTCATTATACATACTTGAAGGCCAATAATGTGCACTATTTCTGAACACTTATGTACTAATAAAACTGATATGAAAATGAAAACAATAGAGCAGTCCATCGAAATCTGGCATTGGGGTATAAACAGAGCTTTTCCTAAATTCAGTTACTTTTTAGTTGATTAATTATTTTTGAAGAGTTTTATTTTTAAATATTTCTACTGTGGAATATAGCATTCACAGAAAAGTATAAACAAAAATTAATATAAAAGTTCTAACTTACAGACTTTCTTAATGAATGTCCTATTTCATATTACATATTTCATCAAAATGAAAACATCCAGAATGCCTAGATAAATAACAGTTGTAGTACTCTTTTAAGAAAACATTTCATATCTGATTAAAGCAAAGTATCAAACTTCACAATGATAACATTGATTTGAGATTTTATAAAAATATTAAGATTGAATGATTAAAACAGAAAATTGGACAAAATGATGCAACCAATCATGGAAAACATTGTTACTGAAACTGAAAACCAGAACATGGTTATTTCCTTGTTGACAGTTCATAACAGATTAATGACAATGTGGCAGCATTTTATTTCTTCAGCATCAAAACAATTTAAAAATTACAAAGTTGAATGCTAATATAATTTATTAATTTTAGTCCATCCATATATCATTGACTGGATCATATCTTCTTTTAGAAAACTAACAAAAATCCCAAAATTATAAATTGTAAAATATATGTGATGTAAAAGTACAACAAACTTATCTTAATAGATTAAAATAGGTGAACAATTGAGAAAAAAACATTTATTTTTTTCAAATGAGGCTAAGTTTTCTATTGGAACCCTCTTCATAGGTATAATATAAAAAATACTTAGCATATTAATGTTTTTATTATTTTTGTAAAATATTTTAGAGCCATACATTTTCATTATTAAGCATGTGAGGGAGAAAAAATGTTCATAACATAAGTTAAATATTAATTTATTGTGTATACAAAAGAATAAATGCTTTTCACAAGTTGTGAATGCTTATAACAAATTTAATAAACATCTAGTACAATCCAATTAAAAATGTTAAATTAACTCAATTTTCTTCATAATAATCTTGGTCAGTTTTAAAGACAAAGTTAGTTTTAAAGTAACATAGACCCTCAATCTCCTCAAACAGGATAATTATTTACTTTGAATTACTCATGATAATAATGAAATTTAGAATTACTGAAGAAAAAGTTACTTACCCCATTCCCTTTGCATTTTTTAGTGGCATTACAGTTATATCTCATTAAATGGGTTTCTCTGCAGGTTTTATTTACACAATACTAAAATAAAACATAAAATAATCATTCTCAGTTTCATGTAAAACAAAAAAAATTATTTTGTCACATGCTTAAGAGATGCACACGTTGAAAATTTTCTATTCATGCTATTATTCTGATTCTGGTACAAAAATTCTCATATGCAATATAATAATCTCAGCAGTCATAATTTCAAGAAAAAAAATCTGAGTGGCTTGCCTTCACATGGTTTATGTAAATATTATATATAGTCATTCATTTTGATATCTATAGCTAGGATTAATCTGAATTTTATATCAGTGGTATTTTTATTGTTAAAATTAAAAAAAAATTATTTGTTCTTTTTAGTTATACATGACAGTAGAATGTATTTTGATATTTCACACCTGCATGGAGTATAACTTCCTATTTTTGTGGTTGTACATGATATGGATTTATACTTGAGTATTCATATATGATATGTTAACATTCCATTGTGCATAATTAGTTAGATAATGATTTATCATGTCATTCAAGTAAGCCATTAATAATTAGTCATCTGGGTATGTGATTATTTTTGCCTCACTTACCTTTTTCTAATTTAACTAGTTTTGTAGGGTTATTTTTGGAAAATATCAGCATAAAGTGTGATTGAGTAATTCACAATATGAAATGCAGGTTAACTTATAAGTAGTATATTAGTTAGCTTTCTGTTGCTGGGAAACAATACCTGAGAAACACACCTGAAGGAGGAAGTATTTATCTTGGCTCACAATTTCCACAAGGTCAAGCCTATTCCATTTATTCTGGGCCTGTGGTGAGACAGAATATCATGGCAGGGGCAGGGCAGGGAAAAGATGCTCACCTCATGGTAGCCAGGAAGGCAGTGGAGGAAGAGAGTACAGAAGCAAAAGAAGTAGGAAGGGTCAGGAGACAAGACATACCCTTCCAGATCATACCTGTAGTGATCTACTTCTTCAAACCAGGCCCAATTCCTAGTTTTACCACCACCCGATCATGCCATTCAATTAGTAATCCATCAATGGATTAATTCACTGAGGTCATATTCCAATTATTTCCCAAGAGCCCCACTTTTGAACACCACCACATCAAGAAAAAAAATGTCAACACACAAGGCTTTGGAGAAAATTCTGGATAAAACCCATAACAATTTTGTTAGATTTTTAGTAGCACAAAAATATGAAATATATGGGCATGAAAGACCACATAGTCACATGAAAGTTAAATTAACCTTATCTTAAAATGTGTGTACATATTGCAATAGAACATATTTGGTTAATATCAATTAATCCATTAATATCCTGGATTCCTACAATCCACTCAGAAAGATTAGTTAGATAACACATGAAAAATGGAAATCCAAAATTTTAAAAACTATCAACATTTTCTGAGTCCTATGATGACCGAAATTTTTTCCTGCCCTTTAATGTACTATCCTTCTATCTGTGTGCTCAATATGCTGTGTGCTAAGAAAAGTCATGGTACAATATTTTAAATCTTGTAATATATGAAAAGTATTGGGTAATAGTTTTAAAAAGGATCCCCTAATTGCATTAATTTCTGTATCCTATGCATTTAATAGGGACAAAGAATATATTTTAAAAATCTCAGGGTCTAAAAACATTTCTTTATAAATAATCAGTGTTATTATTTTTATGTGAGAAATTGCAATTGTTTCACAACAAAGGAGAAAATAATCTACAGATATTTTAGAAATATAAATAGGTTAAAGGAGATATCAATGTGCTGTGGTTTGAGTGTTTGCAGACCCTCAAATTTCCATGTTGAAAATTAATCCCCAGTGAGATCGGGTTGAAAGGTGGTTCTTATTAGCTGATTAGGTCATGAGAGCAGAATGAGCGCCTTTTGAATGGAATGAGTGTCCTCATAAGAGGCTAGAAGGAGCTTGTTCACTATATCCAACATGTGAGGATACAGGAAGGTGCCATCACTAAGGCAGAGAGCAAGTTCTCACCCAACACTGAATCTGCTCCTGCCTTGATCTTAAACTTCTCAGTCTCCAGATCATGAGCAATGCATGTCTGTTATTTAAAAATAACAGTTTAAGATTATTTTAATATCATTCCTAATGAACTAAGACAAAATTTGATATTGCTAAATGAGATGTTACTATGTCAAACACCTAAATAAATAGAATTAACTTTGAAACTGGGTAATGGGAGAAGGATAGAAGGGTTTGGAAGTTCATGCCTGAAAAAAGCGTACATTCCTATTAATGCATTAAGGGTAATTCAGGCGAAGGTTCAAAAGAAGAAGAAAACCCTAAAGAATGGTTTCAATTTTCTCGGATTTCTAAATGGTTATGATCAGAATATTGATAGAGATATGAATAATAATAATCATCCTGATAATGTGTCAAATGGAAGAAGGTATTATAAACTGAGAGAAAGATGATCCTCTTAAAGAGGCAAACTACATCACTAAATTGTATTCGTGTCCTAGTGCTCTGTGGATGGTGAAATTTCTGTGTAAGGAAATGGGATACTTGGCAAAAGAAGTATCTAAGCAGAGTTGAGAGTATAACATAGCTTTCCTGACTTCTTAAGTATGTACATTGTATGCCTGTCTCACCAATATATATTTAGAAGCACATAAATGGTTGGATTTTTTAGGTTCACAGCTGGAGAGAAATAGGCCTCAGGATAAATTGTTTCTTGAGTCTCACCCATATCTGAACTAGATAATATTTAGATAAGATGAAACTTTGGACTTTAGGCTTTTGAGTTAATGTTGGAACAAGTCAAGGTTTTGGGGATTATTTAGATGCAATAATTGTACTTAGCATGTGAGAAGAACATGAATATGATATAAAGTTATTGTCTGAGTGTTTGCATCCTCACAAAATTTATATTTGGGGACTTAATCCTCAATAGAGTAGTATTAAGAGATGGGGGCCTATTAACACTGATGTGGTTGCATCACTGTAGTATATATGGGGTATATACCAAGGAATGGAATAACTGGGTCAAATGGTGGATCCATTCGGAGTTTTCTGAGGACTCTCCAAACTGCTTTCCAAAGTGGTTGTCCCAATTCACAGTCCCACCAGAAATTTACTAGTGAACCTTTATCCCTACAACCTTGCCAACATTTATTGTTACTTGTATTCTTGATAATTTCCATTCTGACTGGAGTGAGATGGAATGTCAGTGTAGTTTTAATCTTCATTTCTCTAATTGCTAGAGATGTTGAATATCTTTTATATATTTTTTGACTATTCATATTTCTTCTTCTGTGAAGTGCCTGTTCAGTTTCTTTGCCCATTTATTGATTGGGTTATTTGTACTTTTGGTATTTTTTGAGTTCTTTATATATCCTGGAGATCTATGCTCTATCTGAGGTGCATGTGGTAAAGATTTTGGTAAAGATTTTCTCCCATTATGTAGGCTCTCTCTTCACATTCTTGATTGTTTCCTTTACTGTGAAGAAGCTTTTTAGTTTGATACTATCCCATGTATTGATTCTTGATTTTAATTCTTGAGCTTTAGGAGTATTGTTGGAAAAGTCAGTTCCTAAGCCAACATGATGGAAAGTTGGGCCTAGATTTTATTCTAGTAGGTGCAGGGTCTCTGATTCAATGCATATGTTCTTGATCTACTTTGAGTTGAGTTTTGTGCAGGATGAAAGAGGTTAAATTTCATTATACTACATATGGATTTCTAGTTTTCCCAGCACCATTAGTTATGGAGGACACTTTCTTTTCCAATGCGTGTTTACAGTGTCTTTGTCTTATATGAGATAACTTTATATATGTGGGTTTGTCTTTGTGTCTTCTATTCTGTTCCATTGTTCTTCATGTCTCAGCCATAAAGAATAAAATTATGGCATTTGCTGGTAATCAGATGGAACTGGAGACTATCATGCTAAGTTAAGTAAGCCAGTTTCCCAAAACCAAAGGCCAAATGTTCTCTCTGATATGTGGATGTTAACACATAATAAGAGAGGGAGTGAAAGAAGAATAAAAGTTCATTGGATTAAACAAAGGGGAATGAAGAGAAGTGAGGCAGGATGGGAATAAGAAATACAATAAAATGAATTGGAAATAATTTTCCTATGTTCATATGTGAATATACTACAAGTGAAACTCCACATCATGTATAACCACAAGACTGGGATCCTAATTAGAATAAGTTATATTCCATGTCTGTATGTATGATGTATCAAAATACACTCTATTTGCATGTATATCTAAAAAGAACAAATTAAAAGATAAATTATTCCATCTAAATATTTCCACAGAAGCCCAAATGAACTAAGGAAAAAAAATTCTATACATACCAAATATCATACGCCTATAATAATGTATTCATACTTTGACAAATATAATGGTTTTCATTCTGCTAAGAATGAAACCCAATCATTAATGAATCTTGAAATAACCAGGGTGCTGAGCAATCTTATGTACATATCCCAGGTAGTTATCATCAAAATCTTTGTTTCAAACAGTTTTCCTAATTTCTACATGTATATTTTATCACTTGTGTATCCTAATGTCTATCAACATAAGTTATATGTAGAATGAGGGGACAATTTACTACTATCTCCACAAACTATTGTTTTCTTGTGGTCTAGTACATCAAAGTCCCAAGCAGCATCAAAAATCTTCCATACTTTTTTTTTTTTAATTTGGCAACTTGGATTAAACAGAATTGTAGTTTGAAACAAGGATAATCATATGATCATATCAATTGATAAGGAAGAAATCCCCAGTGGCACAGCCACTGCAGCTGAAACACTAGCCGGAGTGGTCTCTTCATGAGCATAGTGGAGGGATAAGGGAATTAAAGGAATCCACTTTTGGGGGGAGTCCAGAGACATGTCTGGGTATGGAGCATCCCAGCAAACCTGAAATACACACTGCACAATAAATGGTGTGTGTGTGTGGGGGGGGGCGCCACGTGTCCTGGTGGTGTGTGGAGGGCAAAGGAAGGAACCATTCTGCAGGCACTGTGCAGGGTCAGCAATTGATGAAGTCAATTCCTGGCAAACCTGAGTTTGACACC